CTGAGCGCTGGTGCCCAGGGCCTGTCGATGCTCAGCCTCCTCTGGGAACCCTCCCCGGCTCTGACCGTAACCCCTGAAAGATGGAGACGGCCTCCATGGGTGACTTGCCTAGGAGAAGGCAGTGGCAGAGCCGGGCAGGGACTGATGGCCTCAGTCCTCTCCACTGCTGCCGTCACCCTGCGCCATATTCTGAATCCCTTCCGGCTTCTGCAGGAATCACAGAATCACAGAATAGTAGGGGTTGGAAGGGAAGCAGGGTCACCCAGAGCAGGCTGCACAGTACCGCGTCCAGGCGGGTCTGGAATATCTCCAGAGAAGGAGACTCCACAACCTCCCTGGGCAGCCTGTGCCAGGGTTCCGTCACCCTCAGAGTGAAGAAGTTCTTCCTCATCTTCAGCTGGAGCTTCCTCTGCTTCAGTTTGTGCCCGTTGCCTCTTGTCCTGTCACTGGACACCACTGAAAAGAGTTTGGCCCCATCCTCCTGACACCCGCCCTTGAGATAGGTGAGAGAGGTGAGGGAGAAGCCTTTCCTTGAGGAAGGTGAGGGAGAAGCCCTCACGCTGCACTGTCCGGTCCCAGCTCTTCCCTCCACCGCACGGGGTGAGCGAGCTGCCCTGGAGACGCTCGGTATCTGTGTGCTCTGCAGGTGGTGGCGGAAGAGGAGGCAGTGAGGAGAAGGCAGCGTCTCCTTGCCCGGATGCCATGTCCTGCCATGCTGTCTGCCGGATGAGAGGCCGGAGCTGCCTGCCGGACCCCATCCCCTGCAGCCCGCGCATGCTCTGTGCTGCGGAGGGAAGAAGCCGTCCTGCCAGGCAGTGCCTGATCGTGAAGCGGGGCAAGTCCAGCCCAGCAGGACACACGGTGAGATGCAGCCACGTGAGGGCCCAACCCAGTCTCCTCCACACTTGGATTTTCCACATGTCCCAGGAGAAAGATTGACTCGCACACAAACCTGAGCAAAGCTGAACATGCACCAAATAGTTGAGTTAGGCATCAACAGCACTGAAAAGTGATGCAGAAACCCGTGGTCTTTGATTCCTTCTCATTTTTCATCCAGTTTTTACACAAGCTGAAGAGTTACTTCTGCTTGCACTCACCTTTCCCTGAAGTGGTTGGTAACACTGCCAGATTAAAGGAGAAAAAGGTAAGGAAAGGTGTTTGCCGTGGTGTAACTGCTGTGTGGAACGGGGAAGCCCGGTTTAGTTGAGCTGAAACGGGCCAGGCTGTGTCAAGGAGCGGTGGCTGGCCTGGGGCTGTGCACCCTTCCTCTTGCAGACACCGCATGAACATTTTGGCAAAAAATCAGGCTGTGGACATTCACCTTTACGCAGCTTGCTGTGGTTTTCTTGCTGAAGAGGGAGCAGGTCGCAGACTTGTTCCCACAGAGCTGGAGCTGTGGTGGCAGAGCCGGGACTGGGTGTGCAGCAGCATCTCTTTCGCTTGGTTCCATTTTTCTCAGAGGATATTTGTATTCAGCCATGTGTCTTGAAAGATTTCCCCGTCCTCTTGCACCCTGTTCTTTCAGCTTTTCTCCCAACCATGCAGGAACTGGTGAAGCTTTAAAAACTCCAAAGAGATGTGACGTTGAAGTTGTTGGTCTTCAAAAAAGTTATTCTAAGTTGTTTGCCTAGAGAGTTGTTCTAGAAGTTGTTCTCCTAAAAACACTTGTATTTGGTTGACTCAGGAAATAGTCTGCTTGCAGAAAAAATTGCTTGTATTTCATAAAGCATAAATGAGGTTTCTTTCATGCTTTAAACTTGCCAGGCTATCCCTCAACTCCATCTCAACTCATCCATGCAGCTATACCCTGGGTACCTTTGCACCCCTGAAGCTGGACCCCAAGGATGCCTGATAAAACAGAGTTTTTCCTAGATACAGTCCTGAAATTCAGATGTTAATCAAAATTAACCAGCCTCTGGGATTGGCATGCATTGTTCTCCCTGGAAGGGGTATTTTTGAGTAAGCCGTCAAAATATTTCCTAAGTAAGACCACAAAAAGCCCACAGATGTAATCAGGGCAAAGACTTCCCTGATGCGGGAAGATGTCAATGTAAGTTTCCTTTTGAGATGTGGCTGGCTCACACTGCCTGTGCCACGGTGTCTTCAGCTTCTGCAAACAACTCCACTCGTGTCCTAATTAGGATGGAGTTTTCCTATTGGTGTGATGCACCCAGCCGTTAGTCTCTGATGCTCTTGACAATAGTAAAGGTGAAGCTGAGGTGGTGGCAGGCACTGTGGTGGCTCATTGTGGTCCAGAGGAGGAAGCCACGATGTGGTCCATGACTCAAGCCACCTTGGGCTCTCACAGCAGGCTGTGCCGCTCCACTGGCATCTCTAGAGGAGAAGCCCAAACATTTTCCTCTCTCCCAGACCATCTCCTACCACAGAAGGACCACTGCTGGGACCGGCGCAGTCCCTAGCTGGTCTCCAGAGCATGGCTGGCATTGCAGACTGAGCTGTGTGGTGGCTCTGGTACATCCTGCTGCCCCACACTGGGTCACAAGTGCTTTGCATGACCACCCATCTGTGACATCCCCAGCTCTCCTGGTTTGAATGCTCCTCTGGTAAGTGAAAAGTCCCTGTAACTGCTCCCTTCACTCCAGCAAACTGTCACTTGTAGCAAGGGATTTGTCTTTGAGGTAAATGTCTTTTCAAGCAAAGCCAGAGGTTTGCACAGGACAGCTACTATTCTCGAGCATCACAGAAAATGTGGTTTTAATGGAACAAAGCTATGAAACAAGCCACAATCCCTCAAAATCTTGAACAGTGTTCTGTGACACCAGTCATAGCAAATCTTAATACACCAAAGAAGCGACATGCAACAGATCACACCCACTGGGTTGCCAGAAATCTGTGTTCATGTACGTGACATCTGCACTGATGAGATTCTCCTTGATCCAACAGTCACCAAGCAGTCACACTGACTGCTTCCTAAAATAGAAGCAGCATAGAATCATGCTGGCTTCTACCGAGGAAAACCATTTTTGGGCAGTGCCATCAAACCCCTGAGGTATGGCAGAAGACCAGGCCCCCACAGGGGTTCTCCTTAGGATCAGCCCCTTGCAGAAGAGGAAACCAGAAATGAAAGTTACTGACACGCACATCTGCTTCCTCTCAGCCCAGATTTACACCATGCACCCCTGAGAAGCATCAGCTGGACTTCTCCCCCTTGAAGCGGACACCACATCTTCTCCATCACTCCTTTTCCTCTCATCCAGCTTCAAGATCAGACCCAGCACTCCCAAGGTTGCTTTGTCCCTTTTTAAACCTTGTGCCTTCCCTTCAAGCAACTCAGAAGCCTGCAGCCAGGCACATCCCACAAACCAGTTAAACCATTATTTTTTTTTTCTTACAGAAAAGCTTTCCGCACCTTTGCGGCAGGAAAAAAAGTGCACTTGAGTGTGGTGCCACCACCCTCCAGCTCCACCCACAACCCAGCAGCCATCAGAGTCCACGAAGCCTGCTCCAGTTGGCACATGACTCCGAAAACACATTTTAAGGACTCCACTGAAGTCCTCCAATTTATTTAGATAAACATCTCATACAATTCAGAACACTGAAGAGTTACAATTATTTTTTTTGTATCAATAACGCAGCTATTCATAGCTATGTGCTCAAAAAAAGCCTAGCTAGCCTACTACTTTGGGTAAATGGTATTTTAATTGCAAGCTTTACTAATTGTTCTTTAATAATTGTTTGACAAACCCAGCCAACACACTCGCTGTGGCCAAGTATTATAGAAAGCAGATGTTATAACAAAACAGCATTTTTAAAAAGTTATATTCTTTTAGGGGATATTTATACACAAGTTTTGAATAGTGGGAGTTGGCATGACCATTATCCCTGAACACAGCCAAAATTTTCAGAATTATGATTCCCCCTACCCTGATCAGCTCATGCTGGGGCTCCTGCATTGTAACCACCAGGTCATGGTAGCTTCGATAGCATTGCTGTACACACAGAGCATCTGCCACGTGCCTCATGGGTGCAAGCCCGCTCTCCCTCTGCACGATTTTCCTCTCCTCCAAGTGTCTCGACATTTTAATTCCACAGTGGAGAAAGCCAGAAACATGATCTAGTGGGTTCACGGTAATAATTTGAACTGTAGGGGACAGTATCCTAAAAAGAAGGAATTTTGCAGCGAAGACGATTGCTCTTCTCCATCATAACTGCAAGTGAGACATGAAGAAAGGACAGAAGCACACAATTTCTACTTGCAAGGCAGAATTCTATCAGACCTACATGGAGGAGAGATTGACATCAGTCACTTTGTTCACACCTTCAACTGTAATTATTCTAGGAAAAAAAGTGTTTTCCACAAGGGAACTCCAACTGCAGTCGCAGACTCCAGGCTCTAGTGAAGTCACCAATGTCCCACCTCCAGCCAAGCTTGGCATCCCTCACCATCAGTGACCTTCATGCTGACGTCCCACTGAAGCAGCTGCAGTCCACTCCGCCGCATGGGCACAGCGCACCCCAGACCCTGCCCCGGGGCCAGGCTCCCACCCCCTCCCCGCCCAAGAGCAAGCGACAAGCCAGAAGAGTGGCTGTATATAATTTTTCAGGGGTCTGTTACCTTCAACTGTCTGTACTGTATCAAATCACAGGTCCGTTTACCTCAGCATCCCATTTCAAGCAGCAGTTAGAAGCAAACACTTAAGCACTTACAGCATCCTTTCCAAATATCCTCCTAATCCAACCGATTTGGGCTCCGGGGGATCTCCTGAGCCTTTCCCCAGCCCTCAATATCATACCTCAGCTTTTCTGCTGCAAATTAAGAGCATGCCTTCTTCTATTGTCCCCCAATAAAAAGATGGTGAACTGACCTCCGTTTTCTCCCATCCCTGAAAGACTAACATCCCTCCTAGCCTTTGCCGCTCTGCGGCAAGGAAGGGCTGGACAGCTTTAGAGGGAGAGCAACATTAGACAGCGACAAGTAAAGGACTCTGATCCATCTACATCTCCCCAAGAAGAAATACCCAAGAGAGTTTTCCTGATCTACAAAGTCCCTTTGAGTTGTGATTCTGTCTCTCTAAAAGCCATCGGTAACATTCTTCTGGTCCAATGTAGAGGTCTTGCCAAGGCTTGTCCCGGGTGCAAGTCAATTATCCAGCCTCTTACCAGGGTACGTAACTAAGGCGTGTCAGCCAGCATTGCAACTACATCAGCTAGGTCGTGTATCTTTAGTTTTCTTTTCCCTATCAAGGGTTAAACTAGTATTTACCAGATTGCTAAATCCAGACCAGTTATGCCCAGATAGTTTGAAGAACCCAGAGCACTCAGACTGTGAGACACCAGTGAACCAGGACCGCTTCTGGTCTGGCAGCAAGGCACTGATCTGAGCCTCATAAATCCCACGTTACCGAGCCGCCACGCTGACTGCCACAGGGTTAACCAGCCCGCTTCCCCACAGGCCACGGGGATTTCCAAGTATGGCAACTTCCTCCCTACCAGACAGAAAACTGAAGCACAGGGTCTGGAGAAGCACCGGAGGACCTGTGACAACTCTGAACAGATCTGGCAGACGCACCAAAGACATGCAGGGAAGTTTTGCTCCAAGGGGCTCCTTTCATTTGAGCAAAGGAGACTCTTGTAGGCAAGGTCTGGCTGAGAACAGGCCAAAATAGTGGGTGGAAAGGGTGTCGGAACAGACCTGCTCCCAATCAGCAGCAACTTATTTTTTTGGGGGGGGCTGTTGCTCTTGTTCCTCAACTCTCTACAAGGGACCCACTTCCTGGCTACAGACAGCGGTCCATGTTCCCCTCACCAGCAGGGCACGGAGCATCAGCGTAACTCACCATGATTATCACAGAATGTGATTATTCCAGACACAGCTTAGAAGTCTGGCTCTGCAAGAAAGAAGGGGAGAGCATTAGGCTTCGGGGAAGACGGCCTCCCTTCTCCCCCCTCACCATGAGCCCACCACTGCCAGAAACAGCCCCATGGCAGTAACCAGAGAGCTGCCCTTGTTCAGCTGTCTGCTTGCTGGTCACCACAATCGGTCCCCACTGCGACACCCTTCTATCTATTGGACCAAAATCATTGCCTGCCCCATCACTTTCCAGGCCAGTTCACCCAGAAAGAGATCAGAGTCATCAGAGGCGGCATGACCAAACGCGTGCAGGCAACGCCAAGGCAAGTCCTCCCTGCCCACCACCAGCAAACCCTTGCACGGCTACGTACACACAGCCCTTGCAGCAGCCCAGCTGAAGCCCAGCCAACTGCCCACGTATGGCACAAGACTTCCAAAATCCACCCCGTTACAGCACTCCCATTTCCCGAGAAGCGGCACAGAGTCGCTGCGCGCAGAAATTAACAAGCTCTGGCTCTGGCACGGGAGCGGTGGCAAAGCTGGAAGAAGAAGGCAGACCATACCCCACCGGAACGACTGTGGCTCCGTGAAGGCAGAATGGGTCACCCTGCAGACATAGATGTCACCGCGGTGGGGGACGAACGGGGCATGGACCAGGCGCTGGAAATACCACTTGTCGTTGAAGGACATGTCCCCGTACTGCACGCCGATCATGGGCTCCCCGTTCCTCAGGAGGGCGATGTCGATGCTGGCAGGGTAGAACCCACTCACAAAGCAGTTGAGCGTGTTCTCCTCGAATGGGTCACCCTGCAGACATAGATGTCACCGCGGTGGGGGACGAACGGGGCATGGACCAGGCGCTGGAAATACCACTTGTCGTTGAAGGACATGTCCCCGTACTGCACGCCGATCATGGGCTCCCCGTTCCTCAGGAGGGCGATGTCGATGCTGGCAGGGTAGAACCCACTCACAAAGCAGTTGAGCGTGTTCTCCTCGCCATCCACCGCACGGTTGCGGGCGTACACCTCCACCTCCGGCGCCTCTGCGGAGAGCGGGGGGCACAGCAGCGCGAGGGGCGCGGCCGCGCGG